TGCATCAGAGGGGGGGGGGGGGCTGGAAACACCTCATATAACCCCCCCCAGGGCTTGGGAATGATCAGTAGCCCCCCAGTAGCACCCTACTTGTCAAAGCCCCCCCCAGAGTCATGTGGGCCCCAAAGAGCAGGGGGAGTGAGCATCCATCAAGATACCCCCCCGCCAGAGTCAGGCGAGCAATCTCCAGCCCCCCCCAAATTTTGGTGACCCCAAAAGTCTGGGGGGTCCACATGAATCTCCAGCCCCCTCCAATCACATGACCTCCAAAGTCCTGGCAGGGCAAGAACCATGTCCATCCCCCAATCAGATGACCCCCCCAAGTCTGGGGGACTGAAGATCCATCAAGACCCCCCCCAGTCAAGTGACTCCCAACGTCTGGAGGTGGTGAACATCCAGCAAGACCCCCATCATTTCCCAGCATGCTCCTGGTGCCCCCCCCCCAGAGTTGGGGGTAGGGGGCAATTGAGGCTGTAATGTCTGGCTGTCTCGTCCACATCTGGGGCCACAGCTGAGCCCCCTAAAATTCTTGTGCTCTGCGAACCCCCCCCTGCGTGGCAGGGCAAGGGGGGGGTGCGTGCCCCCCCCAATACAGGGGTCACTCCACATGGACCAGCAGGCCACAGAGGACAGTGGCCCCCTTCTCCTTGGTAACCCACTCGATGTCAGTGGGCCCGAAGCGGGGGTCCAGGGCCTCAGGGGCGCTCACCGAGGGGGGGCCCGGCTTGTAGGAGCCTGGGCGCACCCACACCTGGAATGCCACCTGTGCCACCTGGTGCCGCTGTGACTTAGGGTCCCGGAAGCTGCCGGAAAAGGGGGGGGGAGAGAAAGAAGAAAGTGTTAGGGGGTTGGACTATGCTTCCCACAATGCCCTGAGGGGATCAGGCACTTCCTGAGGTGGAGCAAAGCCCCCCCAACCACGGAGTCAGGGTGCTGGAGTGCAAGCTACTCTTTGGGATAGAGTGGGATCTAATGCTTTCCAAAATTCCTTGGGGCCTCCAGGGCACTTACTGGTGTGCAGCAAAGCCCCCTAGGAGCTGTGGTGCTACAGTTGGAACTATCCTTCCTAGAATGCCTGGGGCACCCCAGTCTCTTCCTGGTGTGCAGCAAAGGAGTCATAATACCAGGATATGACCTACCTGTACCATTAAAAGTCAGAAGTACATTTTCCAGAATGTACATTCCCAGAAGCAGTGCCCCCTGGGAGTCGTAGTACCAGAGTGTAGCCTACCCTCCAGGAACTGTTGTATGGGTGTGGGAACTATGCCTCCCAGAATGCCCTGGGACCTCCAGGCACTTCCTGGTATACAGCAAAGCCCCCTGGGAACTGGGGGTACTAGAGAGGGAAGTACTTTTCCCAGAATCCCCTGTGAATTACTGTGCTAGAGTGGGAACTACCCTTCCAGGAATACCCTGGGGCCCCCAGGCACTTCCTGGTATGAGGCAAAGCCCTTTGGGAATTGTAGTGTCATAGTGTGAACTATCCTTCCCAGAATCCCCTGGGGCTCCCAAGGTATTTCCTGGTACAGATCAAAGCTGCCTGGGAGTTGTGGTACCAGAGCCTAAACTACTCTTCCCAGAATGCTCTACCCTCCCCAGGTACTTCCTGGTATGAAGCAAAGGCTTCTGGGAGTTGTAATGCTTCCTGGTATGGAGCAAAGGCTTCTGGGAGTTGTTGTCACCCTCCAGTTCTGCTCTTCCCCAAAGACTGGATTACATTTCCCACAATCCCCTGGGTTCTTGCCTGGTGTGGCAAGAAAACCCCATGGAAGCTGTAATCCTGTCTCAGACTCCTGCACTTCCCACAATGCCCTGGGGCCCACCAAAGCCTCCTGGGAGATGTAGGCCCCCAACCCTGCACTTGTCCCCCAAGCCTCTTCTGACAGAGGAGTGCTGCCCTTTGGGAGTTGTAGTACTGGAACTTCAGGAAGGAGCTGAGCCTGGACTATACTTCCCACAATGTCTCAGGAGGCCCCCCCAACTCTTCCTGGAAACCCCTTGGGAGTCAGAGGGCCAGTGTTTCAGGCTGAACTCTATTTCCTGCAATCCCTTGGGGTCTACTAGCATCCCAAACTTGATACCCCCACTCCTTTTGTATACCATAGCTTCCTATGATCCTTTGAGCCCCTCCCCCACTCCCGGTGTCAGAGAACATCATGGGAGGCTCAGACCCAGCCTGCATGATCAAGGGGCACTGTCTGCCTGTCCCCATCCCCAATTCTGCCCTACGGTGAGGCACAGTTTACCCCCTACCTCCCAACCACTGTCAGACATCCAACACCCACCCTTGATGGGGCCCCCAATAACTGCCCTGCCCTGGGTCTTACTGCACTTTGGTGGCAAAAGGCTCCAGGCCAGCGTAGCGCAGGGTGGGTGAGAGCACAACACGCTGAGGCTCCCCGCGGCCCTGGCTGCTGTTCTCCTCTGCCTCATGGTAGCACCCCCCACCCTGGGGGTCTGCCTTGGGGGGCTGGCAGCTCAGGATGGATGTGCTCCCTGCAAGGCAGGGGGGATAACAAGCCTTAACAAGGTGCAGACAACCAGACAGAGCATAGAAATCATATAAAGGACTAGAAAGGACCTGTAAGATCATCAAGTCATGGGCAGGAGGTAATTGAGCTCAAATGAGCAAAATGAGGTGCATGTCCAGCCTCCTCTTGACCACCACCAGGCATGGTGACTGCACCACCTGTGCTGAAGTGTGTTCCAGACAGGCCAAACAGGCCTTGTTAGGCATCACATTAAGTCTTAATGAGGTGGAAATATTCACATAGCCTAATAGGCCTCATTAGGCATCTGTGGAACAAGCCTTAATGAGGTAGAAACAGTGGCATGCAGTCTGATGGGTTATAGGAGTGGGGGTGGGCAGGACCTGGGAGCTTGGACACCTGGGTTCTCTCCCTGCTCCAGGGGCTTTTGGGGTGGGAGAGGTGGGGGCCTCTTACCTGACACCAGCTCCCCTTGGTCCAGCATCCTCCGCACAGCCCCGACGCTCGTCCCATGATAAGCCATGTGCCACTTTTTGCAGGTGCTGGCCACCTCCAGGCGGGGGTTTACTCTGGAATGAGGGACCAAGGGGGTTTAGGCACCTTCCTTCCAGTACCCTCCCCTGATGTAAATTGTACCTCCAGAAGCCTCAATGAGTGTGAACAGGCATTCCTGATAAATCCACAAGACATCCTGCCCCCCCGACCCAGCACTGAGGAAGTGTTGCGATAGGAGCGTGGAGACTGCACAGGCCATGCTGCTGCCAATGTAGCCATTGCTCAAACCTGTTTGTGTGGGGGGGGTGTACGCCTCTGCTGTGGGTTTCCCCTATGTGTGTCTATATGTGCAAGTCAGTTCTGGGCTTCGAGTGTGAGTCTGTGTGTGTAACAGAGAGAAACAGATAGGGGTGAGAGTGTTGTGGGCTGCCCCTGTGCATGTGTGTTTGCATGTGTGTGTGTGTTAGAGTGTTGTAGGCTTCCCCTGTGCAAGAAGTTCCCATTGTGGACTTCTCCTGTGTGTGTGTAGGTGTTGAGTCTCCATTATGGGCTTCCTGTGTGAATGTGTGGGTGTGGGAGTCTCTGGTGTGGGCTTCCCCTGCATGTGTGTGTGTGTGTGTGCACCCGCACACACAAAGGGAATACGTGGTACGCACAAAAGTAAAGTAATGCCTCTTAATGAGGTGTAAATAGTGAGACACTGGCTGGCCACACCCACTAAGACTTGTCCTCATGCCAGCCTGAATACCCCAGCCCCTGTGAGGTGCGGGATGCATTCGGGGGTCACCCCCTTAACTCCCAGCCACTCTGCACGTGCCACAAGGGCCCTGCCCCCACCGCCGTACCTGAGGTTGAAGCGGCACCAGCCAAAGGGTAGTGCGTAGTCACGGGGAGGGTCCCCACGTTTGTAGTAGGCCTCATCCCCTCGAAGCCTGTGACAGGATTCACAGTAGCACAGGCTAAACTTGGGGTCCTCAGTGAAGTAATCGTCTGGGGATGGGGTGAAAGGTTAGCTTGGGCACAGGGTCAGGGGTCCCTCCACCCCCACCTTGATCCTGGGATGAGGGTGATTTGGGCTGGATGCAGCCTCCTCATGTCCATTTGGTCTGTGGATTCTCCACCCCCTTCCACATGGAAGGATCCAGCGCTCCCAGGGATTGGCTGTACCCTAATTACGGCCCTTAATTAGGCCCTACCCCCCAGTGCTGGCCAAGTCGCACAGAGCCCGCCTCACCTGGCAGCAACAGCAGGTCCTTGAAGCGGGTGCATAGTGCATGGTACTCGCAGGTCTTGGTGGTGCTCACGTCCACAGGGGGTGTCCAGCACACGCTCTCCTTGATGCCTGCGGGCCACTGAGGGTTAAGCACAGGTGGGGCCCCACCCGCATGGGAAGGAGCGGAACCTGTGACAAGTCCCACCCCCACCCAGGAAGACGAGAGGCGTGTTCTGCCCCAACCCCCTGAATGCATTCAGACAGGAAGTGCCACTGTTTCACCTACCCCCCCTTATGACATCACATCCAGCCCTCCCCCGCCTCATGACATGACATCTTGACCTACCTCCCCTTATTATGTCACAACCTGGCCTATCCCACCTTATGGCACCATATCCTGATCTAGGCCCCACAATTTATAATATCGCATCCTGACTTACTTCTCTCTATGATGTCATGTCCTGACCTCCCCAATTTATGACATCACAACCAACCTCATCCTGGCTTGTGACATCACATCTTGACCTATCCCCACCTGCTTATAACATTGCACCCTGACTTATCCTAGATTATGTCATATCCTGACTTACCTCCCCATATCATGTCACATCCTCACTTCCCCCTGCCTTATGACATCACAACCTAATCTTATCCTGGTTTATGACATCACATCCTAGTCTAGCTCCCCTTATGATGTCACATCCTGCCCCTGCCAGGCAGGAAGCCAAAACTGCCCTCCCCCAACTCACCATCTACCATGTCGGCCTTCTCCATGTCCCCCTGCCCATGGAGGTCTGTGCTCTCGCCCCCCACTGCCAGGGCATCGTTGGTGACTATGGTGACCTGAGAAGAACCAAGAGATTGGGTAGAACCAAGGAGCCCGTATGCCTGGAGTCTCTCCCAATTCTGGGAGGGAAACAGGAGGGGGCTGTTTCCCAGTGCCTGGGTTCTCCCCCGACTCTGGAAGGAAAGTGAGGAGTGGGGCTTTACAGCAGGGGGAAATGAGGGAGCTGGATGCTACAACAGGGTTCTCACTTGCTCGCACTGCCCGTAGAGGTCGACGAGGACATAGCAGGGGGCGGGGATGTCATGGGCTGCCACCCCCTGATCCATGCCATTGACGTAGAGGTGGAGGCCAGCATTGGCGTCCACCAGCAGCCCCAGCACAGTGCCCTCGGGGCAGGTGTCCAGGTTAGGCCCATAGTTCTCACAGATCTGGGGAGCACCAGGAGAAGGTGAGACCCTCAACTTACAACCCCCCCTCCCAACCGCCCCCCAGCCCCTCCCCCAGCACCTTGAGGGAGTTGTGGAAGACCGAGTCGCGCTGCAGCAGCCAGGCAGACCGTTTGAGGGAGCAGGCTGTGGCCGGGAAGTTGAGGCGCTCGGGGCAGGGCCCCATGACGCCCAGGGACAGCGACGAGGTCCACTGAGGGTTCAGGAAGTCAATCTGGACCTGGAAGGAGGGGGCGGGACAGGAAGTGATGTTGGAGGCACTGCCTCCAGTACGCCATGATGTTGTACAGCTTTCATCTCCTTGCTCTGGACAGGTGGGAAGTGGCGGGGGACACTCTTTACACACCGTGAGCTTTCAACACCGTGACCTCACTTTCTCCCCTCCCCTCCGCACCTACCCATCACCTTGACTTTATTTCCTCCCCTACTCTGAGCAGACAGGAATTAGTGGGCCCTCTACCCACCTTTCACCATGACCTCACTTCCCTCCCTCACCTCTCCACCCCTGCTCCCCACCATGACCTCACTTTCTGTCCCTATGTGGCAAAGCAGAGTATGGTGGGCCCTCTACCTTGCCCTCACCATGACCTCACTTCCTCCCTTGCCCTGAACAGAAGAGTAATGATGGACTATCTACCTCCCCCTTCCCCTGACCTCACTTTCTCCCCTGCCCCAAGCCGACAGGAAGTGGCAGGCCCACCTGGAACAGCTGACCCGGGGGCAGAGGCTGGGCAATGACAACAATGCCCTGGTTGTAGCTGGCCACGCGGGTGGCTGTCAGGTTCCCGTTGGACAGCAGGATGTTTTTGCCATGGTTCTCCAGGAACTCCATGGTGCCCGGTGCTGCCGTTGCTGGAGGGGCCTCACTCTCGCACTGCCACCGGGAGGGGGAGGAGTCAGGCTCACCCTGAGCCCCTGCCCCCTGGATTGGGTCCGCATCAGGGCCCACCACCCTGGCACTCACGGGTGTGGGCTGCTCCTCCTCCTCCTCTTCCTCTTCACTGTAGGGCTCTGAGGTCACTGAGGGCGGCTTAGTGCCATCAGGCTCCTCCAGGACGGTGGAGCTGACAATGGAGACAGCCGTGACGCGCCCATACAGGTCCAGCACCACGTACACATTCTGGGGAGGGAGACGGGGAAAAAAAGTGACGTCGCAAGCCAGGAGAACCACTCCCAGTGACATCGTTTCCCCACCTCAAATAAGAAAGGAGGAAGATCAGTGGAGGACCTGGCATCAGATCCCACCCCCCATGACCACTCCAGACAAGAGGGGCAAAGGGAGAACTATGGGAGGATACGACATTGAAACCGGCCCCATAATGTCACTGCCTCTGTGAACAGACAGGGAGACCCATGAGAGCATGTGCCATCTAGTCTCATATGCCACGACATCACTCCCTCTTTAAACAGCAAGAGCAAGGGGCGTGGAGCCATGGGATGAAATGAAATCATGACTACCTCTCCCAAGGCTGGCTAGACCAATGGGAGAAAGTGACGTCGGAACTGCCCCCTGTAACATCACTTCCTCCACAAACAAAAAGGGCGAAAAAAACCAGCCCAGCAGGAACTGATGTTATAAACACTCGTGACATCATTTCCTTCGCACGCAGAAAAAGTGCAGTGATGTGACTCGGGTGGGAGGAAATGGCATCAGAACCACCCGCTTTGATGTCACATCCTCCCGGAAAAAACAGGCAAGACAAAGTGACCCAGGTGGATCCATGGAAGGAAGTGACATCACAAGCAGCCCCCCACATCATCACTTCCTCTTCAAACTGGCAAAGTAGCCAAGGTAGAAATGGCCATCAGAACCATCACCTACGATGTCACTTGCTCCCCCAACATGAAGCAGGGGGAGGGGCTGCAATGTCACTTCCTGCCCCCTCCTGTGCCCTGGGGGGTGGTACCTTGGCCACGCCAGTGGCGGCAGCACCCACGTCCTCGCCATCGATGAGGATGTGCATGGTGTCATCCGCGCAGCGCTTCACCCCGACACGGTTCCCCACCTGGGGGGGGCACATGGCAGGGCTGGATGTGGCTGGACACCCCT